TTTTTTTTTTTTAAAGCCATTGAAGTCTCTTATGCTGATCAAGGCTGCATTTATTTGATCAAAAATACAGTAAAACAGTAATATTGTGAAATTTTATTACAATTTAAAATAACCATTTTCTATTTGAATATATTTTAAAGAATATATTTTATTCCTGTGATGGCAGAGCTGAATTTTCAGCATTATTACTCCAGTCTTCAGTGTCACATGATCCTTCAAAAATCATTATAATATGCTGATTTGCTTCTCGAGAAACATTTCTTATTTGTGTCAATTTTGAAAACAGCTGTGCTGCTTAATAAAAACAGCATTTATTTGAAACTGAAATCTTCTCTTGCAATGTAAAAATCATTACTGTCACTTTTGATCAATTTAACCCATACTTTCTGCACAAGTATTTTTTACCACAAAAATAAATAAATAAATTACTGGCCCAAAACCTTTGATCATTAGTGTAAATGTGATGCTATACAATGTGTGTACAAAATAAATAAATAAAAATAACATTTGTGTCCACAGTTTTAAAGCAGCAGGACAATCAAATAATTCTATGAAAAAAAAAATTTTGGGAAACCATGCAAAAACCGCAATTCAATTAAATTCATTTAAATATGAACTTAATCTGATGTATAACAAATAATTGCCCTCTGTTGTGCTCCGTCTGGTTGACGGTCAATTATGTCTATTAAGTTTAACAGCAAGTCACATTTACAAGCTTTTTTGTGAAATAGAAAAGCTCTCAAGAGCTTGAATTTGAAGCACTTCACAGCTGCAAATATATATCATATAAAACGTATGCACTGGGAAAAGTATTCTGAGAGCACAAGCAATCTGTCAAAGCATCAACCAGCTCAGATGAAACTACATACTTCTTTAGTTCTTTAAATAGTTTAAAGTTCTCCCATGTTTTCAGTGACAGATTGTGTACTTTTTCCACAACAGCTAACATTTTTCAAATGCATTTCATTATACATATATACCTAACGCTACTGTAATTAAACTGTGACTAAACGGCAAAGCCATTTCTTTTTGAACATTTTATTATCTATGTTATTGATTAGTTACAGAATAATTTAAATAGCAATATTATAAGTATTAGGCCTTCTGAGCAAACTCGAGGGTGAAATCACATTTAATGTTTAATGGGACCCAATTTTAGATGGAAACGTGGACACTGGGTGCATCAGAACACCAGCCCCTGGGGTAAAAATGAGTCGTCATACAGCTCACAAAACAGAGATCAGCCGGTCACAGGGACACAGACAGCGCAGAAGGGCCGAGGGGGAGGGGGTCTATTGACAGGACAGAGCGAGATAGACCGAGAGGGAATGGAAAGGAGAGACAGGCAGAGTCTAACCTTGCTGCCTTGTGACTGCTCCCTGTATAAGGTGAGAGGGCTGGCGGAAGGGCGGCAGATGCAGACAAAAAGAAGAGGAAAAGGAGGAGGAAGAGAGTGGGATGACGTGAGGAAAGAGGAGAAAAGCGCTTGGGTGGCAAGTTTGCCAATGAAGACATCTGAGAAGGGAGGTGGGGTGCGATCGGCTGGACGGAGTGCCGGGCGTTCGGCCATCAATCAGAAGAAGCCACACCCAAAACGGCCCAGACACTGCCGTGTCATCAACATCCACACACACAGACACACCGCAGTGCAGTCCGCCCGCCAATATCCCTGCACAACAGAGCATGTGACAGCACTATCAATCAATAATTACTAACCTTTTCTAACAAATATTGTTAGTGCATCAGTAAATACAGGCGAAAGCACAGGACACAGCATCATGGGCTTCGCTGATGTTCTGATCGCTCCAAGATCCAAAGATTACAGCGTGATCTGCTGTGTCATATCTATAGCCTGATCGGCAAATGCACCGACAGGCACTGCGCCACTGCACGATGCATGTCTTTGCAAAAATCACCGCTACTAAACTACTGTGTCGTTGGTGGATGCTGGGCCAATTCTATGTGGTTGCTAGGGTGCTTTGGGTGGTTGCTGGGGCATTTTTATTTGATTCCTACGCTGTTAAGAAGGGTTTCCCGGGCGTTTTCATGTGATTGTTAGGGTGTTATGAGTGGTTGCATGGGCATATCTATGTGAGGGTGTTATGAGTGGTTGCTAGGAGATTTCCATGTGATTCTTAGGCTGTTATAAAGGGCTGCCAAGGCACTTCCATGTGATTGTTAGGGTGTTATGAGTGGTTGCATGGGCATTTCCATGTAATTCCTAGGCTTTTATGAGTGGTGGTCAGGGCGTTTCCATGTGATTGTTAAGGCCAGGACATACCAAGCCAACTTCAAAGAACTAGCGGCGATGAAAACCGACAGTGTCGTCACCTCGCAACGGCAGCGTCTGGACCAAAAAGCTGCACTTGAACACACCGCACAGACCACAGCTGACTGCAAACTAACACATGCGTTCCACGCCTGCGTGAGAAGAATTAACGGTCTATATTAGCAGCTATCAATAGCATATATTCGTTATTCAAAAGGAGAAACCGAAACAAAGATATACGATAAAAACAAAATATTCGAAACGTAAGCAAATCAGTACTTGCTTACCATTTTGAACATCAGTAACGTTGGTAACTTTCAGCATTTTAAGCATTTCATGTAGTTATGAAAACATTTGCATATTGGAATGCTTGGGTAAGATCACGTAACATTAGAACAGCCTTCTGTTTACTGCTTTCATTTACTTACTAGTTTTCATCACTTTCGCTTTATTTCCCCTGCACGGACTCGTTTGCTAAACTGAACATCCAATCAGAGTTCCCACTCGCACCAACAGTCCCGACGCTGATTCGGGCAAACTGCTGCCAACGAGTCCGACCAAAGCCGACGAGTGGAACACACCAAACAAACAAGCCCGACAGACGCTCGCCGACGGCCGACGGCTTGGTGTGTCTCGGCCTTTAGGATGTTATGAGTGGTTGCATGGGCATATCTATGTGAGAGTCTTTTAAGTGCTTGCTATTAGGCTGTAATGAGTGGTTTCCAAGGCGTTTCTATGCATTCTTGTTTGGGTGTCATGAGCACATGCCAGGGTTTCATGCACTAATTCTCAATTTCTATCATGTCTGAACCTCAAAAGGTGTGGGATAAGTTATGTCTCAGTTTAACACTAAGGGTTGTATAATCCTAACATAAGCAAAAGCATCATTAATGGCGATGCTTGGCTTTGAGAAGCATACTAAAAAGATAAGCTGTAATGGCCTAGACCAGGGGTAGGCAAGTTCGATCCTAGAGAGCCGCAGTCCTGCAGAGTTCAGCTCCAACCCTTTAAAGGCTATGAAAACAAATAAAGTGAATGTAACCATGTAAGCCTTTATATTATGTGCAAAAAAGGGTTAAAATCACATTTCATTCTAACATTGTAACATTGCAATCTAAAAACAAAAATAAGGCTTTTAAAGCGGAAGTTAAATTCACTAAACTAAAAATTAAATAAATGAGAAGAAAAGCACAGAGTTGTGTTAGGCTATTTCGATTACCCCTTTACAGTCACTTTACAGTCAGTGCTATCATAAAAATAGACTTACTTGTAGGTTTAAAATTCTACATGTCACATTTATTGTCCAACTACAAATATTTCAGCGAAATTTATATTTTAGTCAGAATTATTGCGCTCCTATTTAATTGAGCTCTGTCTGTTTGGTGCGCATGCGCATGGTGGATGCGCTCGTATCAAACTACTGTATGTCGATATAAACGGTATTGCCTCATATCGAATCGCTTATAAAGAAAATATCGATAAATCGTACAAACTCGATGTACCGCCCAGCCCTAATGTGTTGTCCTAAATCATTCACTGTGAAATTTTCTAAAAATCTTCTGATTCACAACAGTGAAATCTACCTGTTCTCTTTGATCTTCTTCTCATTAAAGCGTTGGTGAAAATCTTTGAGCTCATTAATCAGCCCAAGCGACAACATCTGATCCACACGCTTGTCCAACCTCTCATCTAGAGCTACAGAAGAGGATGAATGAGGAAACTGAATAAAAGATACTGCAGACACGTTCAAGTACCAATCTACAATGAAGCTACCATTCGTTTTGCAGTGGAGCCAGAAGATGCAAGCGTTCTGGAACCGCAAGGGACCCCCAAGACAATCTCCTCCATCCTGTCCTCGCTGCTCCTCCAAAAGCCGACTGTGTGGAACTCCAGTGTCCATAAACACCTGCAGACTCCTGTAAATCAATCAACTGACCATCAACTTATAGTCAAAATACCATATAACTTCAGTTAAATTAGCAATGCATTTCTCAAATACATTTGAAAGATTCTGCATGCCAAATAATCTCTCAACTAAACATATTATTTGGAAAGAACACACCACATACTAAACAGGAACATGATGAACTACTGACAACCAACAAAGGATGAACAATAAAGTTGCAGAGGTGCATGGGATTTCGTCAAGCTTGCGAGTTCCTCAAAAGGAGCTGATATCAGGAGGAGACATCAGCACTGTGAAGTGTGGGAGAGGAGCTCTTCCACCACAGCAACACTGCAGACGCAGTGGCACACAGGCTGGCATCAATTAAGCGAGCACATAGTGCTCAGAAGAGGTGCTAATCGGCCCCTTGATACCAATCAAACACCAATTGAGGCATGTGAAAACACGTGTGTAACACGCTCAGAAGCCTCAGCCATCAGCAGTTCTCCCACACAAGTGGAAAAAAATAGATGCAAAAATAGATGCCCAACAAATGCCAAAACTTAACATAGCAAGACAATACGATAAGGTTTCTATCCAAGTTCAAGTCAACTCCGTTCCTTTTCTAACAATGCATGAGGGGGAAAAAACAACAAGTATAACAAAAAAAGCATTCACTGAAAGAAGAATAAATGGTAAAGACGCAGTAAATAGGGTATAAACTATCACCATTGTGCATTTAAGGAACTTAACGTGATAGTTTGAATTTTAATGCCCCAGAATAGGTACAAATTAAGAAAATAGGTATGTTTATGTATACAGAGCTGGAGTCACGACTAGATGTTCCATGACAAAGACCACAGCCAGGCCCCCTAAGACCAAGATCCAAAATGCAGACTTAATCCCAAGACCCAGGCCTGCAGGTCCAAGACCCAAATTGTCCATTTTAATTAACTTAATCCCTGAATTTATTGCAGCACTATATTGTATACTATTTTCAGAGCCATTGAATTCTAGCAAATACTTTTAAATTATACCATGCAGATCTGTGGTAGAGGTAGAAATAATTACTCAATGGAAATACACTGTAGGTTTTCCTGTGACTGGTAAATAAGCTTTGTCTCCATGTTTGTTTGCTACCACTTAAATAATTACCTTGCAATCTTGCGTCCATCATGAGGGTGCAATATGGCTGCCATGTCAGGATCCACCTCCTTCAACAGTCTGTGAAGCTCAGGACCACCCAGTTTCTCAAGCTCTGCCTTTGATTCAGAACCCACGCCCTTTTCTGACTCCGTGTCACTCCCCTGCTGTAGGTCAGACAGAGGAGGACTCGATTAGAATAGATCTGCCAACAGATGCATAGAAAACCTTTTAATATTACTCAGACTTACTAGCGCCGTTTCAAAATGTAGTGAGCTGCCACATTGCCAACTGCCTTTTAAGGCAGCATTCAAAACATCACAGAATGTCATAAGAGACCGATTTAGAAAGCTTGACATAGGCAGCAACCCTGTGTGCCACACAAAGACTTGCAATTGGTTTCAATGGTTTTCAATTAGCATGTTGCTAAGCTAACAGCATGATATTTTAATAAAGAGTACTCAAAAAAACTTTTAGATCAATACCATAAAAATGCATTCTGGGATTGTCTTCTCTCTTACGTTATCTTAAAAGGCAAAATAATTAGGATTCCTACCTTATGAAACAGGCTTCCTGATAAAAGCATGAAACAAAAATTTACCATTTCTATTTAAATGAATGTTATTGATCTTATTGTGAATGATTCAATGGATGAATGTCATTTTTAATCAAAATATATAAAAATTTGGTATTCTGGTGACGTATGTCGAACTTCTCCAATCAGTTCGTTAAAATCCCATCCTTTTTTACAATTGACTTCAAGTTCAAGTCTATATCTGCCTCCATGCAATCAACCAATACACAGTTCCCACACAAATTTTTTTTTTCCTTTTTCGATAATGCATCTCACTTGTATGTCACAATACAGAAGAAAAGATCTGTCGCTACTTTCGTTTCATTGTCACTTCTTAATGCTGCCCACGTAGGCAGCTCACTAGATTTTAGAAAAGAGCAATTGTTTATCCTCATAAAACATTAAAATTCACATTTACCCCAGTGTCGATGAGCACTTTCCATAAAATGGACTCAATGTAGTAGTTTGTGCCTCCAACAATGATGGGCAGCTTTTTCCGACGATGCATATCCTCCATGTATGATATTAAGGAAGTCAAACTCTCAGACAAAGGAATTAATTTTTCAAATTAATAACAGTATAGTTACAAGCAATAAAAAAATTATGCACACTGATCATACATGTGAAACCAAAGTGCAAAGTGCTCCACTGCTACAGTGCTTGACTGAAATGCAATATCATATTCCTAGATCTATAGCCACTCAAACAATAATGCATGTAATGTCCAGGCCTGGTGCTGTGAGAGGACAGCCGGTTCAACATGACTGCTGGGATTCTGCTATAGATTTTAATAAACGGCATCAAAGGCTGCCTCCATGAAGCATTTCGATAACTGCTTCAATAAGAGAAGGCGCATCAGCACACATCAAACACATACTCCCGGACACACTTCCATGTCACATGCATCAAAATCAAAGCAGCCTGGCCACACGCTGTCCACCCCACCCACATCAGGCTGTGATCCCTCGGGAGGGAGGTGGAGAAAATGAAAGAGAGGAGGAAAGAAGAGCAAGAAGCCGGAAAGGGGTGGGGACGAGATTGTGAGAGAGTATTTAAGCATTTCTGAATGGTTATGAGAGAAGATTGAGAAAAACAACTAGATTAACAACAAGATTATTTCTCTAATATCCTATCTTGATTATTGATTTTGTAAGAGAAATTACACAACGTGCTTTCTAGTAGTTATGACTGTTCTTCAGTGTGCAAGCGAGACTAGAAAGCTCATCCCCCGCCACACCTTATTTCTTGTGCATGAGCGTCTGAGGCGTCTGCGGCAGCGCTCCTCCAGACACTGTGAGAGCCGCCCCACCTCCTCACAGCATCTCCCTCAACTATTAATATCATCCTCATCTTTCAGCAAACATCTGCAGCAGGCGGGCGGGGAAAACGAGGACAGCGACACGTCTCGCTCTCCGTCTCTGGTACATGCATTTCCAGTTATGCCCTTGCATTTACTGAAAGAGCATGCCGAGGGAGTACAACCCAGCGCCCACTCATAAAATGCCACAGCCATTCATGTGGCTCGCTGGGAAATGCCACATTCCACAAAAGACGAGAAATTAAAAGATTGGGATTTGCATTCAAACAAGGCACAGTCTCACAAAAGCAGTGTCACTGATGTCAGGGAGGCGATGACATTTTAAAAAGAACAATTATTCAGAATGATCATTAAGAAGTTTGCAGATGATATCTTAAAAGGCTGAGTAATGGCCCATTAATTTTATCTGCAGAGACGAAATATAAAGCATTTATATTTAGAAGGGCCTGTCAACTAAATGAATCTCTGCAGCTGTTAATTATAGGGAGTATAGATTGGGCAAAAGTGGCCGACTAGTCACCCAGTTAACTAGTCACAAGGTTCCAGACTATGGAGGAGACTAGGGCTGAAACGATTCCTCGAATACCTTGAGTAACTCGAACACAAAAAAATCATCTGCCTCGAGGCTTCGTTTAGTCCATTTACTGTAACTACACACGGAACACCATGTTTCCCCACGGACTATTATTACCAGAGCCGATCATCCCAATACGCAAAATACGCAAGCTGCGTAGGGCCCCCGAAACACCAGGGGGCCTCCTTGCTCTCAAAGATGATTTAATTTTAGTTTCGTTTTTGAATTTGGCCAGCGGTTATGAAAACATGAATGATCATTGATTGCGCTATCGCCCTTTCTACGTAAAAACCAGTCAAATCATGTAATGTGAATGTCGTACAGTCTTGCTCGAGAATAAAAAATAGGGATGCACCGATACCACTTTTTTCAGAACGAGTCCGATACAGATACTTTCATTTTTGGTACTTGCCGATACCTGTATTTTCACAGAATTTGTAATTTTTTTTTAAATATTGGGTACAGAAACAAAATAATAGTAATAATAATGATGATAATATGAATCATGTTAGTTGGCTTCATTTAGCAAACAGATATTACCTTCAGTTATTTCCACACTTAATTATACCTGTTAAAATGTATTGTATAAGCTTTTCTTACTTCTACTGTTCATTTTAATGGCGCGTTAGAGCTGCTCCATTGCAGCAGCTCAATACTGTGATCACAAAACGTTTTCCTAAAATAATGCAGGGAACCACTCGTTATACATTATACGAGTGCACGCGTACTATTTTGGTGATGTAATTTGCATCACACGCAGTGTACACGGACCCTCGCGTACGAGTAAAAACCGGAGTATACTTTGGCCTTAAAGCAAGCTAAACATACAAGCGCACACGTTTGTATTGGTGCAGAATGCCGCGCGCTCAATCCACTCAGCGCGCTCTGCTTATCAGCTCGGGCACATCCGCTATACAGGCGTGAATATTGAATGTTTAACATTATATTAATTACTTCCATGTACTTCATAGACATCCTTAATCTCTAATAACTCCATTCTACTCTCTGTTGTTCTGTTTTCAGTGTTTCTTTTTCTGGACACAGCTCTATTCACACGCTGTTTGGTATCGGCTTTTGGTATCGGGGCATTTTTATGAGTACGAGTACAGGAGCGCAGTATCGGTGCATCCCTACTAAAAAACGAGTTGAAAGTGTACCGAGCCGTGGAAGAGACACTGTTTCTCAAGTGAAACATGGACAAATGCGTTTCATTCATTCGTTCATAACCACTCATACCCCACTCCAACGCACCCTCCGGCAATACAATTTTGCGTAGGGCCCCCAGAAGTCTAGGATCGGCACTGATTATTACTGACGCACAATCCAATAAACGCTGGACCATAGACTGTAAAAAAAGCACTGGACATATTTAAGACCGTAAATCAATATGGTGGCTGGCTAGTTATGATGTCCCTTTGTTAGCTATGTTTTGTGAAAGACTAAGCACCATTCATGCCGTCTCATTCTCTCTCTGTGACACACACACACACACACACACACACACACACACAAACACACTCCCCATACAGTTATGCATAAAAATACCACAGAATGAAATTTAGTCAATATAACACGAAGAGTGCCAGTTTTCACCTCTAAAAATCAGCATGATTACAAATGTGATACTGAATTTATGCAACAGTTCAATAAACAAGAAATTAATATTAAGAGACTTGCGTTTTAGACACCATATTGCCTGTTTTTGCTCTATTTGGCCAACAAAAAAATTATTCCAAACAAAGCCACAGCACTGTTTTGCGTCTCTGAGCAGCATGACAGTGTTTCGTTCCTGAATGAATCAACCGTTTAAATGATTCGGTTCAATCGCAATGACTCACTTATTAACAGTGACTTGCTGCTGGCGGTTTTAATTTCACATTTATAGCATCTTTTCATTTTTAGAATAATTGCAAATATTTTATGTTTAAAATAACAATATTATTTATGCATTTGTAACTGCAGGTTAAATGCATTTATGTCCCTCTGAGCTGAATTAAACTGTGTAAATAGGCCTACATCTAAATGCCTCTTCAGATAGAGCTTCTGTGTTTCCTCTGCATTACAAAGATGAATTTTGATACTGATATCATTTGTTTGGTAACAGCCCAAATGTCTTATTATTCTAATTGACTGATTAAATGTAAGAATTTGACTCAAAAGATGATGCACACTTTTAGAAAAAAGGCTTTATAAAGGTAAAAATGCCAATAAAATTTACAAATCAATTTAAACTTATTGGAACAGATTAATTTCTATAACTGCTGTGAACTGACCGGCACACAGAATATGAAGGATATCAAAAACAAATGCAATGTTTAGGTATTGTTATTATTTTTATTACTATTATTTTGATTAATGCCTTAGTTTTACTTTGTACTGTTTACCTTTTTTAATGTAATGTGAAATTGATTTTTATATTTCTTGATTTATGCCTTAGTTTTAGGTTGTAATGTTTACCTTTTTAAAGTAATGTGAATTATTTATTTATTTTATTTTTTTATTGATATATTTGTATTTGCATTTTGAATGCAATTTTGCAATTAAATGCATTAAATGGGTTTAGTTTTCACAGTTATTAATGTATACAATTTCAGCAATAAAAATTTAAATTTTTCTAAAAAGGAAACAAACCTATCTTATTATCTCTTGTATATTTAGTATTGCTCTTTAATAAAGAAAAATAACTTATCCGATTACTGGATTAATCGATGGAATAAACGGTAGAATACTCGATTACTAAAATAATCAATAGCTGCAGCCCTAGAGGAGACTAAGGAGCAATTAGCTCCTCAAATTACAGAATAATCATAAAATTACTCGCTGTTCAGTAAGGAAGTCGATTGTAAACTCAATTACAGCCCTGAATGCTTAACTGACCATGATTCAAATAGCTAAAGACCCATTCACACCGAGAAAGATAACTATAACAATAACTATATAGTAAAGGTGGGCAATATACCGATAGACACGATTAACCATTAGAAATTTGTCAACTGGTAGAGATTTTGAACTTTCGTCTCTATCGCGGTTACATGCTCACGTGATGCTGCTGTGCTACGTGGTCATGAAAACTTACCATCTGAATGCATTTTTAAGCATTGCGGCTTAAAAACAAGTGATTTTAAGCAGTTGAAAAGCAATCAGCTGCATAAGAGAACTCATTTTGACTCAATTTCAACTCAGCTGAACGCTGTCTGAGAGATGCGCACACATGAAGACGGTGCTCATAGAGTGTGGGAGTATTTAATTTTTGCCGCTTTAAAGGCCTGGAACGGTTAAATACACACACTTGTATTTGTCAAAATTGCAATCTTTGCAAGTATCCTTGTAAACACAGTAATTTAGGTCTTAAGTGAAAGCAAACAGCTGGAAAAGAAAACATGTGTAACAGTATATTAGATCCGGGCAGCTCTTAAAGTAATAGCAGTCTAATATTCCTGCTGTCTGTCATTCTAGTTACAAAAGAGAGAAAATCTCTCACTGCTCTTGACTAAATCACTTTTGCAACTTTAATAAAAATAAATATACATTTAATTTACACAGTGAAGAATATGCAGTGTTTTTATTCAATTACTTTATACAAGATATGTAGCATTTCTTATTTATTTGTTCTACTGAAGTTTTGCAATCTATTGATTGTAATTCGTTTCTTATTCTTAATCGCTGACTGCTTACTTGTCTTCAGTGAGCTTGAGTTGGGTTTTTTTTTAATTTAGGCAAGCATTAGTTTTTGAATTATGAAATTTCTATGGAATCAAATTTTGGTATCAAAGGCCTTATTTAAAGCAAAAATAAATAGTTAATTAGTTAATTAATAGTATATAAATGAATAATAAATAGTTAGTTAGTAATATATAATATGTAATAACTAGATATAGTTACCATCCTTAGAGTGAACAAGCCTTTCGTCACAAGCGAATTTTGAAAAAACTGTGTGAATCTTGTGACTGACTCATTAAAAAAAAAAAAAACGGTTTATAAGAGTCACTTGCTCATGAATCAAGCACAGACATGGAAAAATGCCTTAAATAATTTTATTTCACTATGAGGCAACCCTCTACGGACACCTTGGCAATTGAATCGCCATTGGCTAGTACATTATTTTGTTTATTCGCCAGACTGAAATACTATACTTTCAGAATATCAAACAAAGAATATCGTTTACATGGATCACATCAATTCTGCATGTTATGTAAGACTCTCTCGCTCTCTCTCTCTCACTTTGCGCGTGTGAGAGAAAGCGTCAGCGAGTCGTGCGCCTTCACACTAGAGTTTACGTTACGCCAAATACACAAACACAGGTGCGCTGCGCATCCATTGAGATGAAATGATAAATAGCACAGATCGCTTGACGGAGAGTGAAACTCTGAAGCGCTCAGTCAGAGTGTTCCGTGAGTGAAATCATTTAGTCGCCCAGAGTGAAGATTTAGTCGCATATGCGAGTGATTTACTCGCAATGTAGAGGGTTGTATGAGGGGTCGGACATTTCAGAAAGGATATGAGAGACAGAGCCTTGTTCCTGAAGTCCACCACAGTGTATCCACTAACCAATGGATCCACAAAGCTGATCATGTGATGGCGACACTGGGCTTGCTCCTCCTCTGTAACCTTATTGGTGATGATGTCCAGCCCTTTGTAAACCTGCAGTGAGAAACCAACGAGATCATATAAACAATGAAGCAGCAAGAAGAAATTTATGTACAGTAAAGTATGGAGGAATGTAGTAAAGGTTGCATGCTTCATACACCACATTACTGTTTTCGCTCTGAAGCGCTCAGTCAGAGTGTTCGGCGAGTGAAAATATATCTGTGCTAAACTTATACTCAGCCTCCAACTCACACACTGGCGAGTAAAATCTAAGAATTTATTAGCCATTGGCTAATATTATGCATCATTTAGTCGCCCAGAGTGAAGATTTAGTCGCATATGCGAGTGATTTACTCGCAATGTAGAGGGTTGTATGAGGGGTCGGACATTTCAGAAAGGATATGAGAGACAGAGCCTTGTTCCTGAAGTCCACCACAGTGTATCCACTAACCAATGGATCCACAAAGCTGATCATGTGATGGCGACACTGGGCTTGCTCCTCCTCTGTAACCTTATTGGTGATGATGTCCAGCCCTTTGTAAACCTGCAGTGAGAAACCAACGAGATCATATAAACAATGAAGCAGCAAGAAGAAATTTATGTACAGTAAAGTATGGAGGAATGTAGTAAAGGTTGCATGCTTCATACACCACATTACTGTTTTCGCTTGGTTCATCATGACATGATAACTACATGAAACTTTAAAGAGAATCCTTTCAAAAACTGTCCAGTGAGACGGGCAAAACAGGTCACATTTTCACTCTGTCCTACATAACTATTGTCATGATTCTTCATGAGGATTGTAGTGTTTGTGTGACTATTGTGTAGCAGCAGAAAGACATTTGTGAGCCCCTCAACAGAAAGATCTATTATCTTTGATGAACCTCAATGAAAACATTGGATTCCAGTATATGAATGAACAAGAACCAGCTCTGAATTTTCAACCCTTGTTATGTTTGACATCAGTCTATAAGTAGACACCACAAAGTGTTGTGGTCATTCAAGGAACTTGTCAGGGGTGTCAGCAGGGTTTCAAAATCAAGGGTATGCGTGCACCGCCGTGGCTAAATTCAGAACAGCGTACCGTAACTCCTCTGCCCTTGCGTGCCGATTTCGGCAAGTTAGGAAGAAATGCTACTGAATTATTGAGATCTTTTCCCTTGTGCTCTCCACAGGACATCCCTGCCAGCGAAATCATGGTGAGGTGAATGGGGAGAACAGCATATGAGACAGGAATTCAGCCCATTCTCTCCAGAGCAGAATGGTAAACACTAATAAAGGGGCGCGATTAAAACATGCAGAAGGTCTTAATCACCTCAGAACTTGGCATGGTACTGCCATTCTGTTTTTTACTGCCCAAGTAGAACGCCTGCTGTTTAGAGCCAGCCCTCTTGAACGCAATATTTTGAATTTACAGGCCTCTAACTCTGTGAAAACTTGGAATCAATAACAGCTGTTTTTTGATCTTGAAATAAAACTTAAACACAGAGTTGGGTCACTACGCTTGTTACGATAGACTAACAAAGCAGGGAGTTTACCAACAACCACATAAACTTTCATAAATGCGGAGCCCGAGTACAAAACAACATTTTTGGTCACTGTAACACTGTTGCCAAAAACAATGCGGTGAAACTAAAGTTCATCAGGTCAGGACAAGTTGCTGAATACGTTTATATGTAAACGTGGGTGTTCATTTGTTACTTTGCCTTGCTATTTTCCATAAACCGCCTGAATGGACAATCATGCGCATCAAATCTTCATGAGTTACCTATGAAAAGAGCATTTTAAGACTACTAGAAAAACGACAACTGAATGTTGAGACTGCAGATACTCAGCTAATAATGTAGCATTATGAGGGATCGATACAGCAAATCACATGGCCTGAGAGACCAGCATGCTGGGAGCTCCACAGCTCTGTAGCGAGGGCATTTCAGGTCAGGTGTCAGACAAACAAATGAGGGTGGTGACAAGTTCTACAGATGGTGGAAACAGCACCTGATATGGTGGGTGGATCTTTCAAATGTTAATTAAAAAAAAGACAGAAAAGAACGATAATTGTGCTAACTGACACAGAAGAAAAGAAATTGTTGAATAAAGTCATTATTTTAGTTTTCTTTGTGCACAAAGTATTCTCGTACTGACTCGTAGCTTCATAAAATTAAGTTTGAACTGATGTCGCATGAACTATTTTAACGATGTCCCTACTACGTTTCGTGGCCTTGAACGTGTCCGTTGCGTTGCTGTCTATGCAGGGTCAGAAAGCTCTCAGATTTCATCAAAAATATCTTAATTTGTGTTCCGAAGGTGTATGAAGATCTTACAGGTTT